AGAGAGAGAGTAGAGAGAGAGAGAGAGAGAGAGAGAGAGAGAGAGAGAGAGAGAGAGAGAGAGAGAGAGAGAGAGAGGGAGAGAGAGAGAGGAATGGAAAGAGGGGGAGGAGGGAGAGGCAGAGAAAGAAAGAAACAAAGAGAGAGAGATGGCGAAGTGAGTGAGAGAGAGGGTTAGAGTGAAATCGCAGAGAAGAAGATCAGCTTTTGTGTAAGATATATGTTTCAGGTCAGGGTCACCAGACGAGGGCGTTACCATCGCATATACAACACATTGATACAGAAACTATAGAAAGAAGGCACTCCTCGGGGGGTGCGAATCTTCCGCACACGCGATCGCTATACCTGTTATATTTTGTAGGCTGAGCTCTTCAGTGGCAGTTACACAGTTAATCCACCTTTATAGAACGGACCCCCCCCTATAAAGGCCATTTCGGGCGTTTTCCTTATCTACAAATTTGACCTCTCTAGGTCTCTCTCGCTGTCTGTCTCTCTCGCTCTCCCAATATCTCCCCCGCTCGGTCTTCCTTTCTCCCTCCCCCTCTCTCCCCCTCCACCTTCCCCTCTCTCTCCCTCTCTCTATATATACATACTATACCCATATATATATGGGTAATTAATATATATAATATATATATAGTATACATACTGTTACATACATATATATATACATTGTCATTATACACCCATATTTATAAATGGTCGTCTTATTTTGCTCCCCCCCCCCTCTCACAACACCGATGCATTCGCCCGAGATAAATTATTATGACACGCGGGCGGTTTAGAGACGCTGCAGAGTTTTCATGGGGGTTGACTGACGCCTACAGCACGCTCTATATGTACACAGTTTACATAACTCTGGGGAGTGTGGAATTAAGCCGTTATGGTTCGCGAACTGACATTCCAACGTAGCAAATACACGTTGCGACTTTAACTTTAAGATCTAGAGACTGGGTGTGTGTGTGTGTGATGTGGCAGTTTCCCTCGGAGGTGTGTAACGGGGTGTGTGGTGGAGGAGGGGAGTGTCTCATCTTGAGTGCAGCTGTTGGAATGGGTCCATCTATCCACGGGGCGTGCCACTATCACCAGTCAGCAATATCTAGGCTTTGTCGTGATGCGAGGTTCTAATTTCTAAAAGACAGTGCTAGTCAACGAAGTGGGGTAAAGTCATCAGTATGGCGCGTGCGCGCGCGTGATAAGCACATGTAAACTGGAATATTTTCATTCGACTTACTAACAGTATCCAGGAGGGCTTGCGTGGTTATTTCTTTCGGACGGATGGATCAGTTGTGTGTGGAGAAATCGTCGTTGACGGTGACTTTCTCATCGCGCTTTCTAGTTCTTTCTAGTTCTAGTTCTCATTCTATCTGGTTACCGGGGGCAGGCTGCTGTAGCTAGGTAACCGGACGCGACGGGCGTGAACACGCCTTTGAGGGAGGTGTAGTAGCACAGGCACTTGAAGCATATCAACAGTAAACATACGCCGCCGCCATCGCGCGTACACTGACACATATATATTAAGCACATTATATCACTTAATATATATGTGTCAGTGTACGCGCGATGGCGGCGGCGTATGTTTACTGTTGATATGCTTCAAGTGCCTGTGTGTCCGATGCTCGGACGAATATCCACGTTCATATTAATAACTGTTAACAACCCAGACTATTCATGGTTTAAAATTTTTAAAATTTTTTTTTAGTTTTCACTCATGATCATTATTAGCATATAACAAGCTCTGGAATCCTATGTTACCCACCTTGCAGTGTGTTGCTGTGCTGCCGTCAAAATTACGAATAAGAGATAGCATAATGCACGACACAAACGCAGATAATGGTAAGCAAACTGTTGCCAGAGCAACATGTTTCAACTTTAATCGCAGAAGAGTATTTGAACTCATGCTTCTATTTAAATTGTCATCCACACTATGGTACTTTTTCAAAGTGCATCTAACGATCTAACAGTATTAGTATTACTCTGTAGTTATCACGTCATGTCTCGTTCGCAATCGATGACAGTTCATGTATTTTCAGCGCCGGAAATCTATGCGGATACGGCTGTAGACTGGTACCTCATAACTTCAAATTGCTCATTTATTGTTGAGGCGAGGGGACAGAGTGACAATCTAAGATAAACACGGACACGTGTGCGCATGCGCATCACAACTACAAATAAAGATGGGTGCTTGTGACGATGATGCAAAGAAAATTGAAAATTAACTATATCTATTAGCAGTAGTGGAACATCATAGATTGATGTAAACACACTTATATATGTTGTAACAAATACGTTGCGCTGCACTCTCTGAGTTTGTGAGTGATACGTAATGTCTTTATATGTTGAAGAGCAACACAGGAAGTGCCAGTGGTTCGACGAAACATGTGGGCGCACGACACGTAAACATGTGGGCGCAACATCACTATTAGTATTATGTCATGTGATAGTAAACATCGTGAGGAAGCGATGCTGCAGTTAATTTGTTGATAAACATCCCTATGACGAGAAACTAACCTAACGCATCTGTAAGTTGTCGGACATTTGTTTGAGTAAAAAACCATTGTGACCCACTGGCACTGGCACTGGACCGGAGTGGCTAGACAAATGACCATGGCGACCGCAAAACTTAGTGCACACGATAAAAAAGACTTGGACAAATTTACTAAATTCTTGGCCATGAAAGCCATTCAGATAATAGTTCAAGCACGTCTTGGTGAGAAAATTAAGACTAAATCAAAAGCGTTTTCTTCTGGTGCAGACTGGGTAATGGATGTTTTTATTTTTGTGTGTTTAAAGTAGTGGTAGTAATTATTAATTAGCTTAACATGCCGCTATAATATTTAGCTTATGATAACATGCCGCTGTAGGTCATGTGAAGAAAATCATGAGAAAGCCATGTAAAATATAGCAAATAAAGAAATGTGACATACAACTGCAATATTTATGCTTTAATCTTACCAGTATGGCAGTAATCTGAGTTCACAGCAAACCTGATAGGTAGAACAATATCTTGTCCATAGAGCTCGTTTCGCATTTATACAAGTATAGTTGAAATGGTTAATAAGTCTGTGTGTTGTTTTTGGACCAAAGACAGAACCACTCTTGTTGGTCATGAGAGGGTTTTGGAATTACATTTGCATGTTTCTTGCAGTTCAATCTTGCAGTCAAGGATATGCCAGAGGTTGTCAATGAAAGCAAGAAAGTACTACATGGCCAGCTGCCAACTGTTGGGAATCCAATCTGCGTTGAAATATCGCTACGCACTGTCGATGGAGATGCAATGGTTCTGGAATACTGGTATTTAGGAGTTACTGACGAGTGTGATTCAAACACAAGAGTCACATATACTGTTTACAACAGAATGGGAATAATGCTGAAGTCGTTATTGACGACAACGCGTGTAACTCCAGCATACAAACTGTCCCGCAGGCAAGGCAGTGATTCATATGTTGTGTGCTATCGGCTGTTCTTTGGTGAGCCAAATCTGCAATGCCTGGGAGATGGACATCAGACGAAAAAGGTTGGAGGTGTTGGAACACCAGTTGGAAATCTAAACCTCACTTTAGCATATAGAACTAAAATGACTCTCACACCACAGAAGTGTGAGAAAGAGACTATGCTTGTGAAAGATATGAAAGATGACCATTTTAAACCAGACTGCAGCCCAAAACGTACACCCAAACCGTGCCTGACAGGATATCATTGCGAGTCAAGGTGATTGAGTGCTATGATTCTAGTTGAAATGTACAAGTATGTAATGATTTTAAACTTACAGGCTTACAGATATATATAAATGTGTTTTTAAGATTTCAAGTAGTTTTGTCTTGCATTAGTCTTAGTTTGCCATTCACATTTTCTTAACCATTCCTTAAAAGGGACGCATGGCCCCAGGCTCCTTGCATATATTCAGTTAAAATAGGTTTAAATTATGCTGAAAAATAGATAATTGTCTCTCTTTGCATACAATTGTTTCATCTCTGCTGCTACAGAGGTAACGTTGCAGATGAGATTGCCGAGGCGTTGAGTCAGTGCGAGGACTGCAACACATTGTTCTCAACATCTCCGAATGCCGACGTAGCCATGGCGCATGCGACACAGCATCACCAACATCTCCAGGATGACAGGGGCACCTGGCCTCAAAATGACTGGTGTGTATCATGCATACATAGCACGGCATGAAATTAGCCAAAATGTGAACAGGCCCACCCAAAATTTTAAACAGGCCCTTAGACAATTTGAACAGGCCCTTTACAAGTTTGAACAGGCTCTTAATTTTGTTCAATTTATTCAAAAAGTATTAGCTTTGTGTTTATTAGGCATACTCATAGTATTTCAGTATTTCATTGCTATCAGTGGAGTGCTACTTGTTTGACAGGAATTGCTGGAACATGATTTACTTCTTAGTAGTCATTAAGTAAAAACTAGTCAGGAAATTGGTAAATATTGTTGATATAAAGGCAAGATAGGCAAAATTTTGACTAGGCCTAGTGGACTGATTATATGGGGGGTTGAACCGGCGGCCGCCGGCAAAATAACACTAATTTCGCGCACTGCACAGTAAATAGCATAATAATTAAATCAATGCTTGATTACACTAGTGACCTGGCAGAGTTGTGAAGTATAAGGTTATTGCTTTTACAGAGACCTAAGTGAAACAGTTGTATAATCACTTAATTTTACTTCAGTTATTTGCCTTACTATCAACATGTGCCAAGCATGTAAGAATTTGATTGGAAGATTCAAATAATACACACACCAAGTTGGCCAGTTCAAGTTGTCAATGATATTGGATATATCATGTATTTTGTCAATGGTAAATTGTTAAGCTTGTTAGTTAATGCAGAGCTATTTATAATTTTTTTACCTTTTATACCTTGTTTAGTCTTTAGATACAACTTCCACTAGTCAGTATTTTCAAGTTGGCTTGTTTGTTCATCAGATGCTGTAGTTTTCAGCAGACTGTTGATAAAGATGAGAAACGTACTCAGAGAATTATCTTTCTAAAACGCCGTGCAACTTTTCTTGCTTGACGGAATTGAAATCTGTTACCTCTCCGAAGTGCTGTACCACTTTTTACCCTATTAGCTATCCATGAAGCCAGGTAAATTGTTTCTCCCTGATAGCATTGAGAAACAGCAGAGCTTCAGTAAGCTGCGAAAGATTGGAGCCTTCGTGCAAGGTGGTGACCTGCAAACAGAGACGACAGATTTTATCCTGCCAGAAAACGCATTCAACAGTCTTCTGCAGCACGATGATGCAGCCATCAGAAACCGCAACGGAGGTAAAAAGACCAAAACCATGTGCAAAAATATGCTTCAAAAACAGACATGTGAACAAATGCACAACCATACACACTAACAAAACTATGTAAAAAGACCTGTAAAAACATGTATGCAATCCTTCACACAAGGAAAGACGCACGTGAAAAACGTACTTCAAAGACTTATACATGAGGGATGTTACAGATAAAAAGACGCAGAACGCTCCTCAATGCCGTGCACACAGAAATACCCTTAAAATTCGCATGCTAACCCTTGACACGACGAAAGATGCACATGAAATTTATATGCATGCCTATGCACGAGGGAAGATGGTGGTGTAAAGAGTGCAAACCACATCACGTGGCTAGTTAAAGGGTAGGGACATTTCAACAGCATTTGAATGTTTCACATTTTCTGCATCCAGAGCTGTATGCTAAGCAGCCGGATAGGACTGGTGGAGTTGACGATGAAAGGAGCCATCAGTGTGAGGACGACCATGGTTTACACAAGTCTGCATACGATCTCCAGTCGGTAGCTGAAGATTATGTCATGGTTGACTTGGTATGTTATCACTATGATTACAAAATCGGTCCTTCCCACAGGTGACTTTTGTTACTACCACTGAATTTCCAGATCTATAATGTTGGTGTAGATGTTAGTGGCTATAATTGTGTTAGTATAGGTAGTGATGACACTATGAAATGGGAACAAGAGAATTAAAATGGAACACACATGCAAGTGGTGAATTACACACAGACAGACACAGACAAAAACACTAAATTAGCACGTGATTATAGGTCCATGGTACTCCATTGTAAAATAAATAGATTGTCATCTATAATATGTACAACTACATACCAATCACTATCACATGGGAACTGCAAACGGAGAACCCTGGTGATAGAAACTAATAACATGTTGAATGCAAAAATCTCTTGGTTTGTGGCTCCTGTTACCAGAAATCTCAGTTTGCAGTTCATGTGTGTCAGCGTTTAATAAGTATTGGCGGTGCATGTATGTGGTTGTCCATTTAATTTACACTGGACCAGCCTGCTACAGACCTGTAATGAATTAACAGTTTAGTACGTTTTTGTGTATATTATGTTTATGTAACATTTACATGTATAGTCTTGTTTTTAGCTCATCTGACATAGTCAGATGCAGCTTGTAGAATCGCATGAGCGTGCGTCCGTGCGTCAACAGTTGGGCACAAATCTTAACCGCTCGACGTACGGTCACGATATTCGGGACGTCGGGGGGGGGGGATCGTCAAAACGAGTTGTGATGTCGAAGCTGGGGGGTCAAAGGTCAAAGGTCAAGAGGTGTAAAAGAAGGGGAACATTCCCTCCTTAACTTAGGGTATAGGGAGGAAATGCAGAATTGCGGCACAAATCTAAACGGCTCGACCTAGGCTCGTGATAGTAGGTGTATAGCATCATGGTAGGAAAAGCCATCACTATGCCGAAATTCAAGCTCACAGGTCCAAGGTCAATGAG